AGTCTCACTTTGTCACTCTGAGTAGAGTGCCTTGCCATGATAGTTCACAGCAACCTCAAATTCCTGTTGATCCTATTGCCTCAGCCTCCCAGTCTCTGGGACTACAGATGCCTGCCGCAACACCTAGCTATTATTTTTTTAGAGATAGGATCTCACTTTTGCTCAGGCTGGTCTTGAATTTGTGAGCTCAGGCATTCTGCCCGCCTTGGCCTCCCAGAGAGCTAGGATTACAGGCATGAGCTACCTCACCTGGCTAGAACCGCCTTTTTTTAAAAAAGAAATTACCGTATGGATACATTGGCTCATTTTATAGAGATCTTAGTGGTTTTTATTTTTTCTCCTTCATAAAACATTTCGTTATTTTGTCATTCTGGGAATTATTTTATCATTGTTCTTTAACGGGTATCAGATATGCTAATAAATAAATATGCAACTAGACTAAAATGAAAAACCATAAAATGGTACACATCTATAAGGATGATTCATTACTAAATTGTCATCAATTACTTTGTCCTTCATTTTGTTAATTACATGCACAAAATATTGCATAATCTTTCAAGACACCATGTTTTTAAGTTCTGTATATTCTACCTTGTTTTCTACAGTTCTACTTATAAAGACATAATTAACAAGGAAAGATAATATGTTAATATAATTTTGTCAGTTCTAAGTAATAATTCTGTCATGTTTTGAGGCACAAACATCTGCTTAATTTTCCTTCTTTAGTCTCTCTTTGTAGATTTTCTTTGAGGTGGAGGGGGTGGCCTTGTGTTACTTATTAGAGTGGTATGCTGATCACTTTTTTGGCCTCTTCTCAGATGTAACTCTTATCTGGATCTGTTAACTATTCTGATGTTTGTGGTGCTGCTGTGGCTTCCTCTGGGTGAATAGTCCGTATGATGAACCTTCATTTTGGCCCTGAGCCACTTTGATTACTCTTAAAAGAACCACACCCCAAATACCTTTTCGTTGGGTTCCCACTCAGTTTACCTGAGGTTTCTATAGTATCATTCCACTACCCCAGAATATCATGGGTGGTGGAATGATACTGTATATATTTATTGCTTTTAAAATATGGCTGCTAGCTCTAGTAATTTTTTAAAAATCACTTTGTGTCTTTTCTTGCAGTTCAGGATCTAAAGTCCATGGCAATCTCTGGATTTCTTTCTTTTTTTTTTTTTATTTGAGACAGTCTATGTCGCCCTTGGTAGAGTGCTGTAGCGTCATAGCTCACAGTAACCTCAAACTCCTGGGCTTAAGTGATTTCTCTTGCCTCAGCCTCCCAAGTAGCTGCTGGGACTATAGGCGCCTGCCACAAGGCCCAGCTATTTTTTGGTTGTAGTTGTCATTGTGGTTTGGCAGGCTTGGGCTGGGTTTGAACCTGCCAGCTCCAGTGAACATGGCTAGCTCCCTGGCTGCTGAGCTAGGTGCCAAGCCATGGATGTTTAAGGAAAGCTTTTGGAATCTCCTTCATTTCTCTAACTTTTTTATGTTAACACCTCAAAAGTTAAGCTTTCTTACTCCTCTCTGAAACATCACTGTTCTAAATTCAGTTTAAGTAGATTTTATTGCTGCTTGCATAGTGAGGTACTGATAGCAAAGAAATTTTTTTTTTTTTTTTTTAAAAGAGACTGAGTCTCACTTTATTGCTTTCGGTAGAGTGCCATGGCGTCACACAGCTCACAGCAACCTCCAACTCCTGGGCTTAGGCAACTTTTTTGCCTCAGCCTCCCGAGTAGCTGGGACTACAGGCGCCCAACCACAATGCCTGGCTATTTTTTTGTTGTTGTTGCAATTTGGCCAGGGCTGGGTTTGAACCCCACCTTGGGTATATGAGGCCAGCGCCCTACCCACTGAGGCACAGGCGCCACCCAAAGAAAATTTTAATACCACTGTGTCATTTATTCTTCTTATTCCTCTCCCTCCATGAATTCTCTCTTCCCCTTTTAGGGAAAATACTAATGAAGGAGTTTTTCTTTCTTTTTTTTTTCTCCTCTATTAACCTTAATCACATTTTCAACACGCGGCCAAGAATGAAGCTTTGACAGTAAGCCATAAATTTACACAGGCAAGCATTGTAAATTTTCTGTAGTTGCAACACCGAGATAACACAAGAGAGTTGGGTATTTTCTTTCTTGTGCCTTTCTTTACTAAAGAGCAATAAATAAAGTTTGCAAAATTTATCCATACCTCAAATTCATTTACCATAAATCTCCTGAAATTATTGCATTTACTTTTTGCTTGGTTTATGGCAAATAAAAAATCAACTTAGTTCTTCAATTAGATTATTAAATGCAGATTTTGAAGGATCATGGTGATGACAGATTTGGTACATGCTTCATCATAACATACCTGCTTGTCAGATCAGACATTAACACTAGAAAGGATTTATATTTAACATGGATCATTTGCCATGTGGGCAAACACTTCTGGATCATTCAGAGCCAGAATCTTACACGGTTCCAGAGGGACTCCTTGGCAGATTTTGCTGATTACTCATTAAACGGTTGAAACATGTATAAACATTATTTATCTTACAGTTTACCATAGCAAAAGACATAAAAGTGAGGTAAATTCTAAGATTATAGTTCTTGGAAAAACCAAAAGCAAAAACATATTTTTGGTAAGTTTTTGTTCTATACATCTTTTATTAATAAAAGCTGAAAATACTAAGTGCTAGGAGGCCACAAAACTTAACATGTGTCTTGTCACCCAGTAAAGCCCAGAGCATTATGCAGTACTGCAAAATCTGCACCCTCTCCCAAGGGGCAGTGCAGAGACCCACATGGCTATTTTGCCAGGGTGGAGACAATGCTTCTGCTTTTACCTCTTAAATAGGATCTCTGCTGCAAGGACAACTTTTTTTGGGGGGGGGGTCTATATTACTCATGCAATAACACTTTATGCCTTCTTCCAGTAGCCAAAGAGGCTATGAAGGGCAGCTTTTATACCTGCCTACAGCCACAATAAACTAATTATTAACCCTGTAGAAGAGTGAATTAAATTATCTTTCTCTCTAAAAAAATCTATGCTTACAGTTTTCTGGCCTAATCAATGGAAAAGATCAGTTCTGATTAACAAAAAGTATATTTATCCCATTTTTCTTCTTCCTCCCCATTCAAATAATCATATAGGCACTTAAAAGCAGACAAATGTAGCACTCTTCTTCTATTAAACGTTTAATCAGAACTCCAGCAGAAGTGTCTTTCTTCTGATATGAGTGCCATTGAATATATGCTAAACTTGAAGCAGAGGCTAAATGGTTTGGTGGGAATATTTCTTAGGCAGGAGGCAAATGTTTTCTCATTAGTTTGTCACTGTTGTGGTTTAAGTTCTTAAAAGACTGAAAATTTTGCTAGGTCTTTCTCCATCTCAGTGTACTGTTCTTTGAGCTTCTCCACGGCTTTTCTGTGTTCTTCATCCACTTCAGCCCTTTTGCTGGGCTGTTTCTTCCTGAAGTCTTACCACTGGAGTAAATGCTGTTTCTCACTAGCTATTAAATGGTCATTATGAATCTTTTTTCGTTCCTGCTCCCTCTGTTGGAGTCTATAGACTGAATCATTAGCTGCTTGCAATCTCTGAAGAACTTGGCTTAAGTCGTCCTGCATTGTTTCTCTACATTTGGGAAGAGTATGTTCGTTTGTTTCATGGACCATATTCTTCAAATTTTCAAGAACTTGCATTTCTCGAAGACCATGTTTTTCTTCAAATTCTTCTATAGAATAATGTGTATCACCTTGAATAACTGGTCTGTGATCCAAGAGCCTTGAATAAATTTCTCCAAGATCCTTGATAATGAGGTGTGCTGTGCCCGCGGTCCCCAGTTGTCCCTCTTGTTGCCACCGCCCGTGGCAGTTCCACCCACCCATGGCCACGCTTTCTAGTCAGGTTTTCTAGTCAGATTTTTTGGTCATCCACTCTTCTTATCTCTTAGTTTTCCTCCCAACTGTCTCTTTGAATACCCTTTGTTCTGTGCCTGCCCTCTTGCACTTTTGCTTGGTTGCCATCTTTTAGGTCTCTCTTTTGGCTTAAACATTTTGAAGTATTTTCTAAGCAATGCTGGTAGACATAGTGAGACTAGGAGGTAGGCAGAGATAGGGGTAGGTTGAGGTGGTGGTACGTGGAGATAATGAAGGCTACGTACATAAAGCATGAACATTTTTCATTGTGTTTTGTAAAAGTTAACTATAGTGGTTATCATAAATAACTCTTCCTTCATTTACTCATCATTTTCTTTTGGTGACAGAGTCTGACTTTGTTGCCCCAGGCTCGAGGGCCTTGGTGTCTGCCTTGGTTACAGCAACCTCAAACTCCTGGGTTCAAAGGATCCTCCTGCCTCAGCGCGCCCAATAGCTGGGACTACAGGCATTTGCCACAGTGCCCAGCAAATTTTTCTATTTTTGGTAGAAGTGGGGTCTCGTTATCGTGGCTAGTCTCAGACTCTTTAATTTGGCGGGCCCAGGCTGGATTCAAACCCGCCAACTCAGGTGTATGTGGCTGGCGCCTTAGCCACTTGAGCCACAGGCACCGAGCCTATTAACTGATTTTATGAGTACTTGTAAATTACATTTCTGAGATATTTTTCTCAAGTGAGGCATTTTCCAGATATACATCTGTATATTTGTAGAGAGAGAGTGTCATTCTGTTGCTCTTGGTAGAGTGCCTTGGTGTCATAGCTCATAGCAACCTCAAATTCCTTGGCTCACGTGGTCTTCCTCCCTTATCCTCCCTAATAGCTGGGACTACAGGCATGGGCCACCATGCCTAGCTTTTTTTTTTCTATTTTTTAGTAGAGAGAGGATCACTCTTGTTCAGACTGGTCTTGAACTAGTACTGAGTTCAAGCAATCCACCTATCTCAGCCTCCCTGAGTGTTGAGAATACAGGCATGAGCCACTGCACCTGGGCCCCAAGGATTTATCTTTGTTATTATAAAAAATTTTCAGCAGGATTATTAATTCTGGACACTGTGTTCTTACTAATGCTTTTATTCCTATCCAGGACACCTCGTCCAGTCATTGTGGAGCCTATGGAGCAATTTGATGATGAAGATGGCTTGCCAGAGAAGCTGATGCAGAAAACGCAACAATATCATAAGTAAGTTTTTTTTTTTTTTGTAAATTTTGTGTATGTATTTCTTTTAAATTATGGTTGTGTTGGCCTGGAGCCTATAGCTCAGTGGCTAGGGTGCCAGCTACATGCACTGGGGCTGGCAGGTTTGAACCTGGCCCAGGCCTGCCAAACAATGACAAACAGCTACAACCACAAAAAAGAAAATAGCCAGGTGTTGTGGTGGGCGCCTGTAGTCCCAGCTACTTGGAGGCTGAGGCAAGAGAATCTCTTGAGCCCAAGAGTTTGAGGTTGCTGTGAGCTGTGATGCAATGACACTTTACCAAGGGTGACATAGTGAGACTGTGTCTCAAAAAAAAAAATTACTATGGTTGTGTATATTTATAGGATACCTGTGATATTTTTGATGCAGGCATATAATGTATGTAAATCAAAGTAATTGGAGCGGTTATTGCCTCAGGCATTGATCTTTTTCTGTATTAAGAATGTTCCAGTTCTACTCTTGATTAATTTAAAGTAATTTAAAGTCACAACTTATTGGGCGGTACATGTAGCTCAGTGGGTAGGGCGCCAGCCACATACACTGAGACTGGCGGGTTTGAACCCGGCCCTGGGCCATCTAAAACAATAATGGCAACTACACCCCAAAATAGCTGGGTGTTGTGGCAGGCACCTGTAGTCCTAGCTACTTGGGAAGCTGAGGCAAGAGAATCGCTTAAGCCCAAGACCTTGAGGTTGCTGTGAACTGTGACGCCCCGGCACTCTACCCAGGGCAACAGCTGG